ACAATCTTTCCATCTCCTTTTCTGTGAAGGTTTCTTTTTTCTAGCATTTCATTTTTATTTAGGCCTATGGGTGAGGGTCTATATGAACACTGTGCCGCATGTGTGGGGATCCTGGAGGAAGCCAAGGGTGCCAGATAGCCCGGCACTGGAGTTATATAGACAGTTGTGAGAGACTCGAGAAGCGCCCTGTTCCCAGGACTCGGGTCTTCTGGAAGACCAGGAAGCCCTTTGAACCGCTTAACCATCTCTCCAGACCCTTGCTATCCACCTTTAAAGAGATGTTTGTATGCTGGCTAATAGCAACATTGTCGTGTCGTGGTTTCCCATGCTTCAATATTTGTCTTTCCAGGGTTCCTCTCCAGGCTGATGAATTTTCCACGTTACATAACTGAGGGTTGTTTTCTGCTCCCCAGCGTATCGTTACTCCAGCCTAGTTTGTAGCTGGTTTGCTACCCTTCGAAATCGTGTGCTTCCTGGCAGCTCGGAGATTGGGGCAGCTGATTCTGCCTGGCAGGTGTGGCATGTGTGACTGAGTCACCGTAGAATCTCAAAGAGATATTTGTTAGAGGCAGCAGCAAACAGTGACTGATTCACGAGCTTCTTGGATTCCCAACAGCTTGGTACTTACCGCGGTTTGTGTTTGAAGGAAGCTTTGCCCTTGTGATGGTGGTTGTTAGCTGTAGGGGAGATGATAGGAAGAGACAAAAGCAGAAGTTCCAACAGCAAGCTCAGGGGGAAGTGTGGAAGAGGGTTTTTTTTTTTTAGGTGTGTGACCTTTTATAGTTTGTTCTTAAACCAATATAAGAGGAGGCTTCGACAATATGGACAGAGACTTGGAAACTTGACAGCCTATGGAATCAAGCTATCTGGGAACGTTGTGGACCAAGAACAATAGGCTACAGTGCTCATGACTTCAGGCTCCGCATCTAGACTGCTTGCTTTTGCATCCTCATTCAATAGCTCTGTTCTATTTCTTCGTGCTTCCATGTCTCCATCTTGAAAATGGAGATGATAATGTCAGTACCCGTGTTTTGTAACTTCTCTAAAAAAATTAAAATGCATGAAACACTTAAACCAGTGTCTGGGAAGCCTTAGGTCCCCACAGGCATTAGCTTCTACCCTCAATAAAATTTATTGCTGAGTTACTAGAGAGTGGTTATACTCTGTGCTATGTCAACACAGCTGCCAAGGCCATTGCCCAGGAAAATTGTATAATTGTAAAGAATAGCCATTCTACAATTCCCACTTGTTTAACAGAAAAAAAAACCAGATTCATAAGATAGGAATCACTACAGGACCCTGAAAGTCAAGTCACTTAGGATATAAGTGTCTTTATGTGCCTACCACTGCACAACCTACTATGCTGAATATCTGTATATGCTTGTTACCTCTTATCTGATCTCTGCCTCCCTGTGTCCCCTAGCCTGTTACATGTTTCCCAAAAAGATTCATAATTGTAGTTGAAGGACTCTCTACCGGGGCTATGTGCAGCAAACATGGTACCAGCAGGTTTTGCCTTTTTAACCCTTTCCCTCTCTCTTGCTAAAACTGTTACGTTCCTAAAGCTAGGCCCCAAGGTCCATTCCCTTATTTGACCACCAACTCATTCCTGAGGCAAAACAGCAAGAATCAACAATCAAAATTCATTATTTGCCTAATATGTCCAATCAGGATTTACCATCTCACTCCATCACAGATTGTCCCCCTTTCTCCTTATCCTTAAAAACTCACTCCTGCAATAAATAAACAAACAAACAAACAAACAAGTGACTAAATATAAAAATAAAAAACGCCTGCTTGGTGTTGTTATTTGCCTTTGTACCCTGTCCCTCTGCTTGTCCCTTCAGGGTAATAAATCTCATCCGTGCAGGGTTATTGGTGTCTAGGTGTATCCTGTACTGACTCTGTGGGAGCCACCCTCCCTTACTGTTGTGCTCAGACAGCATAAATATAGAACTATTATCTAAAGAGTTTCGTTTAGAAGATAAGATGGCCATACTTGAAATCGAATAGGAATGGTATCTGTAAAGGCTTCGTGACAAGCAGTTATTCTGAAGAACTAGCAGAGTTTTACATGGGATACACAAGGAGGGAATGTACCCCAGATAGGAGAAAGTTTACTCATGGTCCAGGAGTAGAAGGGAGTGGGTAGCTGGAAAACAATTGGTGACAAAGGGACAAGCACTTCATGGAGTTTGGTTCCACAGAAGAGGAAATGGACAAGGCTAAGAGAACCTGTAGTCGCTAGTGTTTGATACTGTAGAGAAACAATGAGGGTTCTTAGGGAAAGAACACACTGTCAACAATATCTGTTATTGTTCTGTAGGTAGTAGAGGCTCAAAGGTTTTGACCACAGATACCACCTTAGGGCACCATTTGCAAACTAATATTTTTCTCCATACTTTTTATCTGTTTTTCCTTGTAGCAAGACTGTGTGACATTTAAAGTAGCAGAAATGTATCTCGTTTTGCCTACTTGAGTCATATCCCATTGCTCTTATAATACAAATGCCAATGAGGTTGTTTCCTTCAAGAGGAAGTCCTGAGACAGATGAGACCAGACAGTATTGATGCCTGTAGCCAAGACTTCTTCCATTCTGCAAAACTACTTGTTCAAAATTAGACTGGACTTTTTGTTTCTAGTCTGTAGCCATGCACTCTGAAGATGCCAGGACCCTTCTGATCTAGGGAGCTAATGAAGACCAGACCTAGTTAGCACTTGAATGGGAGAAATGATCTCCTAGTGAGAGAAATGGCAGTGAATAAAATATTTGCCATGCAAATGTGAAGACATGAGATCAGATCCTCAGAATCATGGAAAAGCTGAACATGGTAACAGGCACATCCCTAATTCTTGCACTCCTAAAACAAGGTGGGAAGTGCAGATAGGAACATCTGCAGAAGCTTGCAACCAACCTAGCCTGGTGTCTATAGCTGCAAAAGAGAGTCTCAAACAGGGTGGAAGGTGAACATTAACACTGGAGTTGTCTATAACCTCTAGGCATGCTGTGTCACATGTGTACATGCAAACACACACACACACACACAACACATATAAACACACAAAACTAAAAGGGAAATGATATATTCAGTCCTAAAGTATTATTTTATAGTCATATCTTTACATTCATGGTATCAATTTGTCATCTAAATTACAAGGTAAAAGATAACTTTCCACAGCACCTATAGATTGATAATTGTCATGTGATTACTTAATCACCTGATCTTCCCAACAAAGTAAGAGGTTGACAGGTTCAAACATGACTAATACTGTATCAGTGTGTTATATAATAAGGATAAAAATAAGGACCAAATAAGTACAAATAACTAGTTCAAGATGGTACAGATAGGAACAGATGGACTCCAAATTACAGATAGTCTAAACCCCAGATCTTTTCAGAACTACTGTGGTTTGTCAAATTTGATGGTTGTTTTCACAAAAATTCATTAAAACCATTTTCTCTCATTTGTAAGTAAGCTCTTGGGATTTATAGGCTAAGGAGTAGTTTTTAAATCCTGATTTGCTTGGAGCCTGTGGGTGAGAGTCTACAAGAGTCTTGTTGATCCAGGAGAAACTGGTCAGCAGCACTGAAGGTCTATGACATAGTGGCTTGACTGTGAAACATGCCGTACTTTGTTGATTTCTTGACCTGTTTTCTTCTCTTCGCATCTTCCACTCTTCACATTCAGGCTAGAAAAGAAGGGATGTCTGATGCTAGAGTTCTACTCCTCTGGCAGCGTTGTGTCTGCATCAAAGTGGTGTTGATTTTGGCACCTGGCTGACTGAAGTTGACTCCTTTCTGAGCAGTTGTTATTTTTTTCCCCTGATAATGTTTTTGACCATTGAATGCAGAAGAAGGTTATTTTTTTGCTTAGAAAGACTTCAAGATTTCAACAAGGATTTGAGTTTGGCATATTTTTTTAATGTCCTACTCAGTTCCTAAGATAGAAAAATAGCTAAGTCAGTTTGAGAGGAGCACTGAGCAAAATTGGCTTGTCGGCTAAGGGACCCAAGGCTGACCTCATGCTCTGCAAGCCATGCTCATCTAAATGAGGATCAACAAGTAGACACCACAGGTTGTTTTGCATTACCTAAGAACTAGGCACTGCGATAGGATTGAGGATGGGAAGTCCGGCACTGTCACAAGAACTCAAAGAATCATCTCAGTCTCTTTAGAACCTGGCAAGGTTAGCAATTGATTGTGGGCTGACCAAATACATAGCACATGCCTATCTCCCAAGGAAGGGGCACTCCCTATGGTAAAGATGGGGAAGTCAGAGGATGAGTCCTTACCTATGCATTCCATAGGATTTTCCTGGGTATTCTAGAAAACAACAATGTTCTCTGTTAAAAGCTGTTGCTATTTATCTCTCTAGTAAAGCTTCAGTTGAGTGAATGCATGGATGCCACTGCAAATTTCAAAGGTAGTAATGAAAATGTTCCATTTTCTAGGAACAGATGCACAATTTGTTCCTAGCATCTTTGTTGATGAATTATTAATATGCAAACATTGAAAACACCTGATTCGTGAGATTTGAGCAGTTTGGGCATACCCAGCCTCTCTCAAAAAACTCCTGTTCCTCTGATTCTGTTTTTATAGTGAGAACTACTTACTTGACTTGAATACCGATTGAAAACCCTTATTCTTTCACCCTTTGGCCTCTGGAAAAGACTCTCATGTCCTCTGATTGCATGAGTTGGACTCCTCCTGGAAGTGGAAATAGCAGTTGCTATCCTGTGACTGGTTTACTCAAATCGATCCTTTCAGTCAACCCATAAGTATTATAAGGGCCTTCGAGCTGCCAGGCATTGGCTATGAATAACTCAAGGCTTATGTGCCAAAGGAAGAATTATCTGGTGGGAGAAAGATTCCTTCCAAATAATAATCAGAGATGTAATAAATAAACATAAAACACAAAAGAGAGGAGTGCTAAATGCGGGGGGGGGGGGAGGGTTTCATGCAGTTGTGATGATGTCCCAGCCTTACATGAAGTGGGTTTTATTGTTGTTGTTGTTTAAGGCAGGGTCTCACTACATAGCCTTAAGTGGCCTGGAACTCACTCTATAGGCCAAGGTAATCTGGAACTAGTAGAGATTCACTTGCCTCTGCTCCTAAAGTGCTGGCGTTAAAGTCTGCAGCACTAAACTAGGCACAAGGAACTTCAAAGTTATTGGTCAAGGTAGATCAAGAGATTCCCAAAGCAATATGTTATTGCTGTTGCGTTGGTTACTTCTGAGGTTGAAGGCATGCCACTATTGATGAAGACAGCACATATTTCTGTCACAGCACATGGAAGGTTAGAACTGGATTTCATCTGGAAGTCTCCCCCTTGAGGTCAGCTTTCATGGTGCCACAAAACTGCCAAGGGAGGGAGCAATCAATATTCTTATGCAGTTTTGATGCCTATGAGCCACAACAACGAATAGTATGCTGAACTGTTCCTAAAGGTTCCATAGTGATACTCATATTTTGATAGTAACCAACATCTATTTAACTGGATTCAAGGTCTGCTCAGTAGAAAGGAAAGCATGCCTGGTACTTGAAACCTAGCCAAGTACTCCTGGGTACTGAGGTCATGAATCTTAGAGGAACACCCCCCCCCAAAACCACTTTACTGGATGAGCAAAATTCCTGATTGCATTCTAAAGTTTATCCTTATATACACAAATGGGTGTACGATTCACTCCGCATCAAAGAAGTATCTCTTCGAAGCAGACAGAAACCATTTCAGAAAGTAACATCTGGTCAAAAAGACAGAGGACAGCTGATGGTGGTGTGTTCAGGTTCTATGGGCTCATCTACAATACAATTCTTGCACCAAAGTTTCAGGAAATATCTTGGAAGAAGGGACTGAAAGATTGTATAAGTGAGAGGACCTGGAATCCTACTGTGAGCTCTCTTAGAGATGGCAGGGAACATACACCCATGACACTTCATGAATATGGCTGCCTAAGCAAGACCTGGAAACACATGCTAACAAGAAATGGGGAAATCTCATGAAATGCCTCCTCTAGACAAAGAACTATAGGCTACTAATGACTATTGAGAGAATGAGAATCTGTTTTTTAAAGGTATGTGCCCACTAATTGGTATTCACTATCATGTAGTCAGCTAAAAATTCATATACACACAACAACACTAAGAAGACTTAACAGGTTATACATGTGTGTGTGCATATATATATGTATATATATGTGTGTATATATATGTGCATATATATATACACATATGCAGTGGGTGTGTGTAAAGTTTGAAAGAAGGAAAGAAAAGGAAGAATAATGTATTTATATTTTAATTATTTTTTAATTTTTAAAGAAATTAAATGAAATTCATTTCTGACATGTAATAAAATGATGAAAATAAAACATCCATATACAGAATATTTTTTAAGTTTAGTGACTTTGGTAAGTACTGTTGCTTTTCAAGTTAGCTAACAGACTGAAAAAAATGTCCAAATCTGCATAATAAGGATTTGCCATAGGTGGTGTTCAGCTGTATCTGCCACTAAAGTCACAATGTGCAATGTGAATAAAGAGTTGGTTCCTGCTCAATATGTCTATCTTTATGATGACTTGCTTCTATATATAATCCATTCATCAATGCAAGGTTCTTTCTCTCAATACATACTGTCTACCTGTATATTTCTCATTACCACATCACCATTTAATATGCATTTGTTGTATTTCATCAATCTTAAGATGCCCTTTGTGTTTTTCATATCTCTAGGATTAGTATGCATCAAAATATCAACAACAACATCAGGGCAGAATTGAGATACTGTTTTCATTATCCAATGTAAAGTCTGTGGTACATCCTTGGAATGGTGGCTTCTGATAGTCTTTAAATAGGCATAGCTTTATCTATGTATATATTGCTTGTTTTCTCACAGTGGACTAGAAGCCCCCAAAGGGCATTATTTTTTTGTTTGACTTTTTTCAACCTTTCAGTATATTTGAAATATTTATTTGAAATATTATCTAACTAACTGATGACTGGCTAGGTTTTGGATGCCTCGTATGTGCTGAAAGTGACGTGAAGTGTTGGATTTAGAGTGAGAATAGAATGGTCATAGATTTGCCCTCTGGGAAGATATGCAAACAAACAGGGAAACACACAAAGAAAACATGTAATTTTGTTTTGTGGTACTGGAATCAAAGGGTCAATGTTCTAACCTTGGAGTACATTTCCAGCCAACAAATGTGTAATTTTCTGTGGGGAGTTGAGAGGAGTGAAAATATTGAAAGTGATGTGGAGAAAATAAACAGGGTGGGAACGATTTCCAAATTTGGATTTGAAAGCCAGGGAGGAAGTCTCTTAGGAGATAACAAAGCTGACATCAGATAATAAAGATCATAAATCTAGGTGTCTCGGCTGCTATGCAGTCTTGACTATCAAAATCCAAAACATTGTTTCACATATCATAGTAGAATATTTGAATCTGTACACACTCATACTGTTGTCTTTTAAATTTTTTAATTTTTTCATACAATATGTTTTCATCACAAAATATTTCCTCTCCTTCAATTCCTTCCAGATCCTTTCCATCTCCACCTCCCTGCCCACTCAACTTCATCTCTTTCTCTCTCTCTCTCTCTCTCTCTCTCTCTCTCTCTCTCTCTCTCTCTCTCTCTCTCTCTCTCGAAAAATAGGAAAAATAAAAGAAACTTAAAAAATAGTGAAAAAGAAACCAATATGAAAAAAAGTCAAAACGAAACATAAAATACACACAAAGGAATCATGGAGACCATTTTGTATTGTCAATTACTCCTGGGCTCACCTTGTGGTGTGGTTGATATTCCCATTGACATTCCATCGGAAGAAACCGATTTCTCTTTCTCATTATATATCAATTGCAAATAATTTCCTGGTGAAGGGTAGGACTCTCTGTATTTTCACCTTTTCAGTGATGAGATTTTGTCTAATTGGAACCTGTGCAGGTCTTGTACATGAGTTTTTATGTGTATCAGTCCTGCAGTTTGTGAAAGAAGCTGTTTCCTTGGGGTCATACATCACGTCTGGTCCCTTCTATCTTCCTGCCTCCTTTTCCTCATGGGTCCCCGAGCCTTGAGGGGAGGAATTTCATAAACATATCGCATTTGGAGATGACTGATCCAATGTGTAACACTAAAAACAAAAACCCAGAAATAGATATTGGGGTTCAAGCTGATGGTCAGATAAGCAAAGCAGCTGGTCATTAGATCTTAACTCTACCTCAGACTGAAAGGGTGATCTGGCTCCACAAATCCTCAGAGTGTAATGCTTTCTCCACAAATCCTCGGAGACTAAATCTCTGCATGAGACCCTTTCCTTCTTCCTTTCATATCTCCCTAAGACTAGGGTTAAAGTTGTGTGATCCCAAGTGCTGAGATTACCTTTGTGTGAGCTATTTCTCTTTAGGACTGGATCAATTTTGTGTAGCTAAGTGTGGCCTTGAACTAACAGATATCCATCTGCCTGTCTCCTGAGTCTTGGGATTAAAAGTGTGTGACACTACCACCTAGCTCTATGACTATCTTGGGTGGCTGCTGGGATTAAAGATATGTATCAGCACTGCCTGACCTCTATGGCTTGTGGCTTAGGTTTCCATTCGGAACCCTCAGGCAGGCTTTGTTACATCATAAATAATAGACCACCACACCAAAGTTTCTCACTTTCTACTGATGGGGCTTAGGCAATGCTCTGCTCTGTGAGTATAGCAGTGTGTCATTAAGAGTCTGTACTGGTTTATTTGCAGGGACCCTTTATGATGACTAGATGCACAGATTGCTTGCAGTAAACTAAAACAAAACAAAAACAATAGACTAGGAGACAGCAGCCCAGAGTGATGCATCTGGCTTTGCTCCTATTGTATAAATTCTGTTGGTTACATAATTTCCCTAATCTTCAACATCTTTACTTATTTAATTGTGAAAACATACTACAGATATCAATGATGGTATTGAGCTTTAACACTTAAATGCGATATTTATCAATCCCTTTAATGAACAGTTAAACCTGTTGTGTACTAGGTCATTAAATTGTCTACAGGTTGTAGAAGAAATTAAGAAAGAAAAAAACCACAATCCATTCAGTTACAGAATTTAAGATGTTGAAAACAGGAGTGACATTGGATGATTTCAGTATAATCTGAAGTAGAATCTCCCCTGCTTAAACTGCTATCATCATCTTTCTACAAAAGAACCAGGCTCACCTATCCTAACATAAGACTCACAAATCCATTAGCCACCAACAGGTGACACAAGTGGCAACTTCAAGAAGATGTTTTTTCATTGAATTTTAGGGCTAAGTGATGAGATTTGAAAACCCAAGCATTTTGATGTTTTTCTTTTGGGGGAGCATTGGGACAATTAGGAGTCACAGGACCATGGAAACTTAAAAGAAAAGAATACTGGGTTCTTCTTGAGTTTTGATGGGGGCTGGAGAGATGGCTCAACCATTAAAAGCTAGGCTCACAACCAAAAAGATGGGATGGAAGGGATACGGTATGCATCAAAAGATCAAGGAAAGAGACACAATGAGGCATTGCTATGACAACCACACTACAACGGAAAGGGGGGATAAGGAGGCTCTATCCCATGAGATGCCTTCCACAGCAGGGGCAGAAACTTCTTAAGCAAAGGTGAACTTTATAGGTGCAAATATGTTTCACTGAGGCAGAGAAATTCCAAACTCAAATGGGATTCCAATGGCTCAAAATGTCATTAGGAATCACGTTCTTACTCTCTGTGGTTGACTTTTCTTCTGAGGTCTTTTCCTTTTTGTTTGAAAGATGACTGGCAAATCTCTTGGCATGGCTAGTTTTTAAAGCATTGATTATTTATTATTAGCTTACAAAGAACTGGGTTTCACCGGGACGTCATGACATTTTCCAAACACGATTTGTGTTAGCTCTTTCTCTCCCCAATCTTCTCCAGCCTCTTTCTTTGCCTCACTCTCCCATCCATTCCCCTGCATGTGGCATGTACACACAATGGAATTTTCCCCAGTCTTTGAGAAAAGGAAAAGTATCATGTCCGCAGAGCATGTTTATACAATTCTACAACACACCCAAAAGGGGAACAGCTTTCTCGAAATTCTCTCTACCAAAGAGAAGAACCTACTCTCCTTTGTTGTTGCTTCGGTGCAGCTGCTGCTGGCGATGAAACTCGAACCACAAAACTCAACAAACCCACATGGAGTTTATTGGGGGAAAGGGAGGAGTAGGTATTGGCCAACTGGGAACAGAGACTGAAGGGGGAAGGGAAGGGAAAAGAGGTAAAGAGACACAGAGACAGGGAGAGGACAGGAGAGAAGAGGGGGACAGGAAAAGTCCTGACTGCTCTAGGGGAACAGCGGGAAAGAGAGGTAAAGAGACACAGAGACAGGGAGAGGACAGGAGAAAAGAGGGGGACAGGAAAAGTCCTGACTGCTCTAGGGGAACAGCGGGAAAGAGAGCCGAAAAGAGGGGCGTGAAAGAGATGAGCAGGCAAAAAGTGGGCGGGATCTTTCTCTTACAGTGGCCCTTTGCATCTGAGTTCAGACTCCACGGAACCCTGGGCTGACCAGGGTACTGCCTGAGTGCATTCTGCAGGTGACAGGGGCAGACCAGCATAATGCCTGAAACCTTAAACGCTTTCCTCAGTTCCCCCACTTACCTCAATCTCAGCGGGTTTCCCTTTATCTGATAGCTGGACCACACACCCATGTTCTAAGTGCCAGCGAGACTGACAAAGGGTTCATGTGCCATTTTCTGTCTCTGTTAAATGGTAGGGGATGTTCAGTAGGAGGAAGTGTGTGTATGAAGATCCATGTGGGATGATTTCTGGGTGGGCCTCCAACACCATCTCTCATTGATTTCATGCTCAGAACCTGGCAGAGTCCTGATTTCTGCATCATAGAAACTCGACTGATAGTTTGTGATTCTGGAATCTTTGTCATGGAAATAGACAATCTATATAAGGTCAGGCCAAGGCGTGGTGAAATCAGCTATTCCTTCCATGCCATGGTCAGAAGGAAAACTAAATTTAATTTCATCTCTTGAATGGCTATTGATATTTCTAGTGGATGGTTAAACCGAAACACTAATTCGACATCATAAGAAGCAGTGGTGACTCATTTTTTTTAACCATGTCTAATTTGGCAGCAGTTATGTAATCTAAAATCAAATGAGAGCGAAAGCTGAGTTAAACGGAAAATGACCAGATCTTAATAAGTGGAAGTTTGCTGAAAGGATCCTGTGTGTGCTTAAAAAAAAAAACTGACTGTAAGATGACTCTTTGGGATGTGGAAAAGGTTTATAAACCCTAATAGGTTACTCACTATTGGTTAATTCCACACGGAAATTAAAAACAAGGAGGCACAAGGGGACACAAAATTAGCCCATTTTAAAAATCAGCTACATTTATAAACAAACATGTAGAAGATTTAAACATTTCTCCCTTTTTGTTTTTTACAGCTACAAACAAAAAAGCTGTTTGTTGACAATACCAACAACACAAAAAATATCTCATATAGGCTAAAAGAAGAGACGGGTCAATTTGGCAGGAGGGGTGAAACCATTTAACTCTGTAGTGTACAGCCTCTGAGAAGTCGTGTGGAGTTTTGAAAATCAGTGTTGTCACAGTATCCTGATCCTTTAAGCTGACGTTTCTCCAAATCTTTCGAGCCTGTCAAGTCCTTTTGCAGAATGGTAAGAGTTTGCCCAGAGAATGGAAAACATTAGAGATGAACATCAGGCTACTTACAGCTATTCTTCTTTGGATGTAATCGGCCCATTTTGTTTTCAAGGCTAGTACTATTTAACTATAATCACAATGCATTTCCCGTGGTTTCTTTATCTGGAGTTTTGTTCTTGGCACCTCTCTACCCTGCCCTTCTTCTCTTGAGTGCATAGGCATGTTTGAACAGAGCCAGAAGGACCATAAAGAATTGCAGGAGCCTGGCTCATCTTTTAACATTTCCTGTATCATAGTACTCTTTAAATTTGTGATTTCCATGGATTTTGCTTTAGGTCCTCAGTATTAAAAATGTTGGACTTGTATTTCTTTTAAGTTATGTGTATGTTTGTGTGCATGCAATGTCAAGTGTGTGTGTGTGTGTGTGTGTGTGTGTGTGTGTATGTGTGTGTGTGTTTGGGGGTGCTCATACAGGCCCGAAAAGGGCATGGGGCACTCTGAAGTGGGCGTTACAGGCAGTTGTGAGCTACCTGATGTGTGTTCTTGGAGCTGGAGTTGAGCCCTCTGAAAGAACAGGAAGTACTTTTAACTACTAAGTCATCTCTCCAGCCCCCTATATTCATGTATTAATTTAGTTATGTTAGTATGGAGAATACCAGAGTCCACTTTAATGACATCAGTAAAAGGCCAGGTAGCATAAGTGACATATAGAAATTATTGTTTTGATAGGAAAGGCTGTTTTATTGTTTGTTTTTGTAGGCTGGAAATATTTAGGGCTGGATTCCATCATTTATTACAACAAAAAGATGTGGTGAGAAAATGACAGTTATTAATATCATTCCACGTAAGTGTATGTAAATAACATTAATTAATTCTATTGTGAAAAGATGCCTGGCAGGCAGTTATACCCATGCCTACTGCACTGCACATCCTCCATGAGCTAAATAAGCTTGTGTATTTGTTTGTCTTTAAAGAAAATATCCAGTATCTATTGTGTCCCTTTATATTTATTGGGATCTAGATATGTTTTGTTAATTCTTTTGTGTGCGTGGCAGGGGGCTAGGGGTCGTGAGGGTGTCCCAGGGACATGTGAAAATCAGAGAATGATTTGTGGGTCCCCCTTGTGGGTCTTGGGGAGCAAAGTCATACTGTCAGGCTTGACAGCAAGGCCTTAGCTGCTAAACCAACTTGCAGATCCTTGTTGTAGCTATTACATACAAATGAGAGTGGGACCTAATACTCTTAGGGATTGGGGTCTATAATGGTTCTCACCAGAGTTTGAGTTCTTCATAAGCATTTGCCTTAGACAATGCTCTCTTGCAGTGCTGCCTTTTTAAAGGAAACTCCATAAATAAAACTCTCGTTCTCCCAAAATGTATGGTATAGACATTGAATCATCTGGTTTGTACAACAGACAGAAATCACCCAATACATACATTTTCTCTCAATGTCTGATTTTATGGAATAGTTTGTTTCCAACACTTCTTATAATGGAATATAAGTCCCTCAGAAAAAATGAAATAGGTGTCTGTCTGTCTGGGTCCCCAGTCACAGCAACAGTAGTGGGAATATTTCAGAGAGTCAGAATTCCAAGAATTGTGTAGGAAGCTGAATTATGTTTCCCCATGGATATTCAGATTTGAATATTCAGAACCCAGGAATGTACTGGTTTTTATGATTAAACAGACTTTGTGGGCTTGATCAAATTCAGTGTTATGAATTAGAGCTACAATTTTGGATTAGCCAGTGGGCCAAATATAATAACCAGAATGTTTAAAGATGAAAGCAAGAACATCAGTCAGTAGAAGGAATTATGAAATGGAAGCAGAGATGGAACTGTAAATCAAGGAATGCCAGAAGTCTCTAGGAGCTTGAAGAAACAAGGGATAGAGTCTCTACTGGAACCTCCAGAGAAACCATCCCTTATAGGTTTTCATTTAACCCCGTAAACTCATTCTAAATCAATGGTTACCAACCTGTGGGTTGCTATCCTGTTGGGGGTTGCATATCAGATTCCTACAAATCAGATAGTTATATTGTAATTCATAACAGTAGCAAAATCACAGTTATAAAGTAGCAATGAAATAATCTTATGTTTGGGGATCATGACAACATGGAGAACTATATTAAAGGTTCACAGCATTAGGAACATTGAGAACCACTGTTTTAAATTGTGAGCTACTGAAGAGGATAATAATATATCTGTGTTTTCCCACCACTAATGTATGACAACAATAATAAGCAATTAATGTAGTCATAGGTTATCCAATTCTACCTATCCATTCTGTAATTGATAAAGCCCCAAAACTTTGGCCATTAATTTATTCAACAAAATTTATCAAACTGCTATTGTCATTAAGGTTCTGCTTACAATAAACATAAGATCCATACTACACTGTTGTTGGGCCCTCACGACTCCTTTAGGGAAGGGGGTAAGAAGACTCAGTCAACAACACAGACATCAGGAGTTAGGCGAAAGGAAACAGCAGACTCCTCTATTCAGCAATAGATACAAACTTACATACTCCTCCAGTGCCTAGGTGTTGATTAGTTGACTTTGATTAATCACTTCTCATTGGCTAAGCACACCTAATTAGGACCTCTGACAGTTTGTGTTGCTAGGGGCCTCGGGCATGGTTGTGTGGTCACCTGTCATTGGCTAGGCAGGATGAAGACCACTGGCAGAAACTGTCCAGCACCACTTTGACTCATCTCTTGGCTCCGTAGGCCTTAACATCCTATACTATACTTCGCTAAATATTTTAACAAAGGCTCTGAGAATTAAAAACTGAAGTAGAGTTGTTTTGGAATGAAAGAGTTGCAAGTTGATGGATCCTGATGGTCCTCCCAACCTCTGAAGCTATACTGTTAGCATCCCACTTAGAAGAGTGGGTGTCTAGTAAATTTCCTAGTGAATTGATGGTACCCTTCAATAATTCAAGAGCTTGGGACAGTGTTTTCAGATCCACGTTTTATTTTCAGACATGATATTTTGCTCCACAGAACAACCCTACATGTTACTAAGCAACTGAAGGTTAATCTCCCAAGAGCTAAGTGCACATTTTCATGTCAGGATTTGGGAAATATTTTACTCATCTATACAGAAAGCAGAATGTGAGCCAGCAAATGAATTTGCAATCCTCTGGTGGCTGAGCTGCTAAAAGTTTTCATAGAGAAAGTGGTTTTTTTTATTAATGCAGAGTCTCTAACAGTTTTTATGAATGTTTTCTATCACCAGCAAATAAAAAAGGTAAATTTGTTGGATATCTGTTAGTAGTAGCCATGGTATGGGTGTTAGGTTGCAGCGTAGATGGATCTGTTTTTAGTTAAATAGTCACTGCTCTACTTAGTCACAAGTTCTTCCAGTAAAGACAGGAAGAGTAGAGAGGACTAATGAGGCATTGTCTGTAAGAGCATCCATCATATGGGGCTGAACTGAAAAGTTCCAAACGCAAGCCTTGACAACTCCAGACCCAGGTACGCTTAAAATTCCACCATGTTACATCGTCACCAACTTTTCCAAATCCAAAAAGTAGCAAAATGCAGTCAGAGAAGTTCAAATGCAATGTATAAATTGGAAATGGAAAAAAAAAACTTTGGGGATTCTCTGAGGATCTTAATGAGTCCCCTGGCTAAGGCCTAAGCTTTGTGATGTGGTTTCTCAAACCCCATCCCTTGTGGGCCTGTCTGCTTCCGCAAATGCTGGGCTTTCACAGTTAAAGTGGGATATCTTCCACACTGAATTTGGTGTGGGTTATGTAGTTAATCACCTAGCACTAATCTCTGGGATTCTAGATTTTCCTTTGCCACATTTCATTGTGAAGAGTGAAGAATTCTAACTATGCAGGAATGTGCCTCTTCTCCATTATGGGAAGCATCCTGGCATCAAATCCTCAGTTTCTTTTGTATTCTTTGTATAAAATGCATGTAACCTGAAGCAGGATGGTTGCTATGGAAAACACTGGCTGGAATCACAGTGTTTCTGTGAGAATATTGGCCTGCCGGCTAGCAGAACATGTGATCTTGGGTGAAGTGTTTGATCTATATTTTGAAACCCTTATTTGGAACCTCAATATCTATTTTTTAAGTGACATTCGTAAGATTGAATGAGTGACTGGAGTGTGGCATACTCTTACCTGTTCTTTTTCCTTCAAGAGAAGACATGAAGA